TCACAAATCATTAAGCCGCGACCCGCTGCAAAATTTACATCACAGCATGATTTTTCATCCAAATGGCCTCATTTAAACATCTCCAAATGAACTACAGAAATTCCATCAGAGCTAATGCTTCTGATGAGATCGGAAGCACCATTAACCATAATTACGTTGTGCTACACAGTTAAAAGAATTGGAACGAAACACCATTACACTCGGCACAACTTTACTTGACCTCAGCAGCGAGTAGTTTCCAGCGGTCTCTCCTGCACGTCTCCCTCTCTCTCTCTCGGAGGGCCGGCCCCGGGAGGGTTGGTCACGTCCGATGCTCACGCGGTTCGAGTCATCCCATTCCATTTGCTTTGTGGGCCACGGTGGAGCGCGCGTTATTACAGCCCGCGTGTATAATTGTGTACGCCGGGCGGTGTGCTTACGCCTCTTGTCCGGGTTGTAGTCTTCACTCATTAGCGACTTGCGTTTGGACACTTAATTGTGTTAGTAAGAGTCTTTCGCTTTAATGCATTTTCTAATAATAAAAAGCCATATTATCGCAGCATTAGGCGTGTTATTTGCTTGAATTCCACCGTACATAATTGTGCTGCAATTTTATAAACATGAGTATCTATTAGTTAATGATTTACTTAATAATGTGAATCACTGTTGCCTGTTCCACTACTTTAAGTCACTTTTATATTCCCCCTTAGTCTTTGTTTACCCTGAACTGGCCCGATGGAGTAATTTAGTGCTGAAGTCATTGTGCGTACTAACAAGAGGCAATGTTGCAATAGAAACCAATTATAAATTACAGCCGGATTACTTATTTTGGGTCGTCATCTGACAGAGGTAACAATTACCAATGAACAATTTGCCGGTGTGCTAAATTAATAATGAATGTAATGACAGTTTGGCATTTTTTAAAATAAATTGTAGATAGGAAACTACAGAAATCTGTGTGCGTTTTACCTTAATTTGGGTTCCACCGCCGCTCTGATTTCATAACTCAGAAAGTTAATTAAACATTTTGCAAAAGAAGTTTGTTGTGCGTTTCGTAATTTGTTGGATTTTTGCCGCCTAACAAATTGCATTGGCAATATTGTGAGCGTCTCGGTATTCCTCAGGAGCAAAATGTATATGCCGCAATGGATAAGTTGTCGCTAGTGGAGTGGTTTTTGCAAAAAAAAACACTCGGCCACGTTATGAAATCGCAAGTCAAAGATTCCCCCCCCCCACTTTGCACCGCATTGGCTGCTGCTGGCACAAGGGCAGTGTGTGAGCATCTCTTAGGACTGGCATCTATCGAGGCTATTGGGACTGGCATCTATCGAGGCTATATAGGACTGGTATCTATCGATGCTATATAGGACTGGTATCTATCGAGGCTATCTATCGATGCTATATAGGACTGGCATGTATCGAGGCTATTGGGACTGGTATCTATCGAGGCTATTGGGACTGGTATCTATCGATGCTATATAGGACTGGTATCTATCGATGCTATAAAGGACTGGTATCTATCGATGCTATATAGGACTGGTATCTATCGAGGCTATATAGGACTGGTATTTTTCGATGCTATATAGGACTGGTATCTATCGAGGCTATATGGGACTGGTATCTATCGAGGCTATATAGGACTGGTACAGGGAGGGAAAAAAGTATTTGATCCCCTGCTGATTTTGTACGTTTGCCCACTGAAAAAGAAATGATCAGTCTATAATTTTAATGGTAGGTTTATTTGAACAGTTAGAGACAGAATAACAACAACATCCAGAAAAACGCATGTCAAAAATGTTATAGATTGATTTGCATTTTAATGAGGGAAATAAGTATTTGACCCCTCTGCAAAACATGACTTAGTACTTGGTGGCAAAACCCTTGTTGGCAATCACAGAGGTCAGACGTTTCTTGTAGTTGACCACCAGGCTTGTACACATCTCAGGAGGGATTTTGTCCCACTCCTCTTTGCAGATCTCCTCCAAGTCATTAAGGTTTCGAGGCTGACGTTTGGCAACTCAAACCTTCAGCTCCCTCCACATATTTTCTATGGGATTAAGGTCTGGAGACTGGCTAGGCCACTCCAGGACCTTAATGTGCTTCTTTTTGAGCCACTCCTTTGTTGCCTTGACTGTGTGTCTTGGGTGATTGTCATGCTGGAATACCCATCCACGACCCATTTTCAATGCCCTGGCTGAGGGAAGGAGGTTCTCACCCAAGATTTGACGGTACATGGCCCCGTCCATCGTCCCTTTGATGCGGTGAAGTTGTCCTGTCCCCTTAGCAGAAAAACACCCCCAAAGAATAATGTTTCCACCTCCATGTTTGACGGTGGAGATGGTGTTCTTGGGGTCATAGGCAGCATTCCTCCTCCTCCAAACACGGCGAGTTGAGTTGATGCCAAAGAGCTCCATTTTGGTCTCATCTAACCACAACACTTTCACCCAGTTGTCCTCTGAATCATTCAGATGTTCATTGGCAAACTTCAGACGGGCATGTATATGTGCTTTCTTGAGCAGGGGGACCTTGCGGGCGCTGCAGGATTTCAGTCCCTCACGGTGTAGTGTGTTACCATTTGTTTTCTTGGTGACTATGGTCCCAGCTGCCTTGAGATTATTGACAAGATCCTCCCGTGTAGTTCTGGGCTGATTCCTCACCGTTCTCATGATCATTGCAACTCCACGAGGCGAGATCTTGCATGGAGCCCCAGGCCAAGGGAGATTGACAGTTCTTTTGTGTTTCTTCCATTTGCGAATAATCGCACCAACTGTTGTCACCTTCTCACCAAGCTTCTTGGCTATGGTCTTGTAGCCCATTCCAGCCTTGTGTAGGTCTACAATCTTGTCCCTGATATCTTTGGAGAGCTCTTTGGTCTTGGCCATGGTGGAGAGTTTGGAATCTGATTGATTGCTTCTGTGGACAGGTGTCTTTTATACAGGTAACAAGTTGAGATTAGGAGCACTCCCTTTAAGAGTGTGCTCCTAATCTCAGCTCGTTACCTGTATAAAAGACACCTGGGAGCCAGAAATCTTTCTGATTAAGAGGGGGTCAAATACTTATTTCCCTCATTAAAATGCAAATCAATTTATAACATTTTGACATGCGTTTTTCTGGATTTTGTTGTTGTTATTCTGTCTCTCACTGTTCAAATAAACCTACCATTAAAATTATAGACTGATCGTTTCTTTGTCAGTGGGCAAACGTACAAAATCAGCAGGGGATCAAATACTTTTTCCGTCACTGTATCTATCGATGCTATATAGGACTGGTATCTATCGATGCTATATAGGACTGGCATCTATCAAGGCTGTTAGGACTGGTATCTATCGATGCTATATAGGACTGGCATCTATCGAGGCTATATAGGACTGGTATCTATTGAGGCTATATAGGACTGGTATCTATCGAGGCTATATAGGACTGGTATCTATCGAGGTTATATAGGACTGGTATCTATCGAGGCTATATAGGACTGGTATCTATCTAGGCTATATAGGATTCGTATCTCTCGATGCTATATAGGACTGGTATCTATCGAGGCTATATAGGACTGGTATCTATCGAGGCTATTGGGACTGGCATCTATCGAGGATATATAGGACTGGTATCTATCGAGGCTATATAGGACTGGTATCTATCGAGGCTATATAGGACTGGTATTTATCGAGGCTATAAAGGACTGGTATCTATCGAAGCTATTTGGACTGGCATCTGTCAATGCTATATAGGACTGATATCTATCGAGGCTATATAGGACTGGTATCTATCGAGGCTATATAGGACTGGTATCTATCGAGGCTGTTAGGACTGGTATCTGTCGAGGCTATATAGGACTGGCATCTATCGATGCTATATAGGACTGGTATCTATCGAGGCTATTAGGACTGGTATCTATCGAGGCTGCACATATACTAATGCAAGGTGTCACGATGGCCAAATCTGTTGGTGTCAGCATAGCTCACCCATGCTTTAGATCCTCCAGAGACCACTCCAATGCCTGTCTCGATCAGTGGCGAGGCAGATATTGGAGTGATCTCCGCAAGTACGGCGAGTTAAGGGAAAGACCTCGGACCAGACGGTGGGATGTTGTTGAATCAGATCTTGGATGTCACATGCCGCGAGTCTCCTGTGCTGCAGCTGCAAGACCTGGCACGGGGATAGACATCAAACGGCGTAGATCTCGGGTGAATCCGTCGTGAAGGCTGACACGGGGGGTGCTCTCTATACAAGCAAGGCAACGGTTAAACTATTTCTCCATACAGTACTGTTAATGGATCGGATGTCACTGCCGCTCAGACTTCTCATGGCCATGAACATTTCTGTGTTGCCCCGTGCTGGTGGCTCCATTTCAACTTAGTTCTCACGCTCCGCGTGTCCTCGCCAACTCTGATCCGCAAGATCAACGGGCAGCAGAAGCCACTTGCCCAGCTCACGACTCTGTAGAGACCTTTGAAACGGAAGAAGGGACCCAGCACTATGAATGTGGCTTTCTGACAGACGGGTTAACTGGGTTTTATGCTCAATGTGAGATCTCCCCCTATCGTTCAGATCAATCCCATGAGCGGTGTCGCCTTTATACCACTGAACCTTTACATTTATAATAATAATGCGCATGGCTTCATTTCAGCCAGAGTTCTACAGGGCTGAGCTTTGGGAGTTGGGGTGGGTGGGGGGGGTGAGCAGGCGAGGGGGGGTGTGAGCAGGCGAGAGGGGGAGTGAGCAGGCGAGGGGGGGGATCGTTTGGAGGGACCGCAGAATATATTCCATGAGGAATTAAGCACCTGAAATGGCCCTTGTCCTTTGTTTATCCAGGAAAGCGTCGCTGAGTCTTAAGACTTTTTTTGCGAGGGTCCTGCTCCATCGGGATGTTTGGCCAACCCCAGTGGATGAGTGTTTGGGTTCTTACTGCGGGAGGAAGGAGGAGGTTGGCGTACCCAGGGAAAGTCCATGCACGCGAAAGGGTAATGCTTAAATTTCCAAACAGATAGATTCAAGAATCTACCATTGCTCTACTTTAATCTCCTGGTCGCCTTGCAAGCCAAGCGTGCACCACCTGGCATTCCCAAAGCACCACCTGGCATTCCCAAAGCACCACCTGGCATTCCCAAACAGTCCTCCCGTCCACAGCTCAACAGCCGCCTAGCGTCCGAGGTCTGGTGGAATCGGATGCTTCCAGCCTGATTTGCTCTGAGGAATATTTAAATTTCAGCAATGTGCAAATAAAGTTGCTTGGGTTAATCACAAAAAAGAATCATAGAAACCATGCATGACCCTTTCATTCGATTTATTAAATGATTTTTTTTAATGGATCGTACTTGCGAAAGCAAAAATTACGTACAGTTTGTCGTTTAACTCCATCAATAACCGGTATAAAGGTTACAAAATCATGATGTCATTGTACGAGCGGGCACTTCAGCATATCGCGTGGCGTGAAAATACACGCGAAGGTAAAGAATCGGATGTCACGGTATTCCGAGGTGTGTGTTTTCTCGTGCTGTCATTCATTTGCAGCCCCCTGTGTGTCGATCCGCTGCTGGATTGTCAGTCGTGGAGGTTGCTGGATCATACTTCTCCATGCCGGTCACCGCAGGTTGGAATAGTGGCGGAGTTGGCCACGACAGGTGATTGTTCTTACCCCGCACCTCCGACTAGCGCGGTTGGCTACGTACGGCACGCAAGAAGTTCAACACACACACACGTACGTATCACTCACCACTGATGTTAGCTGTGGCCGGCAAGCAGACTTTTATTGGCGGGTTCATTGCGAAGTGTGCTAATAACTCGAGCGACGTGTAAAAATAAAGGATTGAATGCGATACAACGCGGATGCATATAGCATCTAAATGGGAGCGCGCGTCAAAATGCCGCACAGAACCAGCGGGCGTGTTTATTATGTAGATAGATGCAGCCAGCCACAGGCAAAGAATAAAATATAAAGCCTTGAGCCTGGACTTGAACAGGGGGGCAAGGCTTCAGGAGCGTGGTTGTCTGGGGGAATTCCACAACTGCAGAGAACGCAGATGTCATAACGTCTAAATATACATTTGCTTGTAATATCGTGATATTTTTTTCCCTTCTCAAATTATTTCCCCACGCTGGTATTGTATGCATACCGATATGTCCGTGCATTTAGCCCGAGCAAGGATCGGAAGAGAGGAGGAGATGCTTAGCTGCAGGGGAGCGAGGAGGGAGGGCGGAGTGAGCGCCGTGAGGTTACAGTGCGCCGTTGCCTTCAGCACCCCATTTTACAAGATTAAGAAATCCCTAAAGGCCTCTTCATATAGAAATAAAGCCGAGACTCCTCTTGTAGAAGGAGTGAGGAAAGCCATCGATTTCGCTGTCAGACCTAGAAATGCAGTCGATCGTCCTGAAGACCCTTTCCTCCGTGGGCCGAGACAAACTTTAGCCCTATCTGTCGAGCCACGGTGAGGGCCGGGCAGTAATCTCTCCTCTCCACCTGTGCCAAGTCTCAGGCCACCTGAACTCGCGTGCGCGCATCAAGAGACGTAGAGATTTCAGGGCCCGGGTGAACTTTTAAAATTCTGCACAAAAGCACGCCGACGATTATCCGAACGTAAAAAAAATTGATGTAAATATACGTACGACTCTGGCAATGGAATTGACGCATCGAAACATGTCCCCGTGATTCCGTGTAAGATAATCTTGAAGGTTTTGAACAGCAGTGTGAGTTGTTGTCTGTAACAACACAAGTGGCATATCGAATTTACAAGTAAGTAAACGAGTACGGTATTTAAACGTGAAGATCAGCGGTGGTGTGCATAAAATGCTGGAAGGGAATGTAAGGTGGGGAAAGGTTCTGTAAAATAATGAAGATGTGGAGGCATTCAGATGTTTGGTTGAATATTTGACCTAACTATCGTGTCCTGTCCAGGTAGAAAAGATGAGAATGTTACTGCTTGAATGGAAAATTACCATTTTGCATCCCAAACAAGCATTTTTCAATTAACAATGGACTTAAAATATTTCAAATCTGAAATTTTAGAAGGGATGCAATGTGTAAAAATTTAATTGAAAGCTTTCGATTACAAATATAATAATGTATTTTATTTACCCATTTAAGCCTCACGAGTCTCTTTCACGAGGATCCTGCATTTGTATGTACCGTATTTTACACTTATTTCGCACCGTACGTAGCCAACCGTGCAAAACGGATCTATGGCGAATTCCTCTAACAGTCGTGTGCTAATTGTAGGTGGAAAGCAGATGATTCCTAAAAAATCCGCACATACAGGGGGCATGACGCTCAAAACTCCGCACAGGCAGATTCAGGAATCCATTGCTGTAGCGCCATTTCCTGGTCTCTTTACAGCCACAACGCTTTTAGCGCCAATCAACAACGAAAAATACTGAGCCGAAAAACTGGAACGTGCAAGAGTAACGAAATAAAAAAAACATTACCGCTCGTAAATGTTTCTCAATGGACGTAAACATTTTCACGGCTTCGTGCCGATCGGTTTATGAACACAACAGTCTTGAAAATCGGTGGGGGGAGTTGGGAAAAGTAAACAATTTTGACTCAATTATTATTTATATTTATTATTTTTATTATTTATATTTGACCAGGCAAGGCCCACTGAGCTGTGTAGCTTTTTTTTCAGATAGCTCAACGAAGTGGCTTATCGTGGGGACATTTATCGCAGCCAAATACTCTAAAACTCACCTTCCTAAAACAAGAGAGCGGTCCCGTTCCACCACGCGCCATGATGAGAGGCACGACCTCACCGTGAGATGTTGTTGTTGTTATTGTTTGTCCTTACCCCGCACCTCCGATTGGCTACGTAGGGCGCGAAGAAAAAACGTCAACATACACGTACTTACATGGTTCAACATTCAGCGGAAGGGGTTGACGCCAGGGAGGGGTTGATGACACGGGGGGGGTGACCACGTCCATGGAGGTTCAGGCTGGGGCTGCGTGTTTGTCCGGCTAAGAGTGACATCTGCTGAACCCGCAGTAGAAGTGCATCGCGGTGGGTGGCCTCCTCCAGTGGGACCCCCCCTCCTCGCGCCTTCCAAGTGATGAGGTCACCCCCCCCCACTTCTCCTCTACCCCCCCCACACACTCCCCTCCCGCACATTCTCCCCCCGCCCCCCTCACTCCCCCCTTCTCCCCACTCCCTCCCCCACTCCCCCCTTCACCCCACTCCCCCCTTCACCCCACTCCCTCCCCCACTCCCCCCTTCACCCCACTCCCTCCCCCACTCCCCCCTTCACCCCACTCCCTCCCCCCACACCCCCCTTCACCCCACTCCCTCCCTCCCCCACTCCACCCCCCCACACTCCCCCCCCACTCCCCCCTTCACCCAACTCCCCCCCCACACCCCCCCTACACTCCCCCCTCCACCCCCACTCCCCCCACACTCCCCCCCACACTCCCCCCGCCCCCACACTCCCCCCTCCACACCCGCCCCACACTCCCCCCCCCACACTCCCCCCCCCCCACACTCCCCCCGCCCCCACACTCCCCCCCCCCACACTCCCCCCCCCCCACACTCCCCCCGCCCCCACACGTTATTGAATGATTCTGCGTTCGCCGTGCCTGCCACGAGGAAGTGACGTAGGCGGCAAAGTGCAAACACAAAACAACAGAATCGCGCTCATTATTTCACGAGAGGGCGAGGAGTCGTTTGAGTGGACGCTGATGAGGTCTGGATGAGCAGCTCTCACGACTTGCTGCCGGCGGGATGGTCTTCATCCAGCAGTGGATCGACACAAGACTGTTAAATCACGAAGTTGCTTAACTGTAAATCAGAAGCAAAACGAAGCAATTCGGCGTGTTACTAGGGGCCCCCTTGTATGTGTGTGTCTGTCTGTGTGTGTTTCCTCCCACGCAGAGCCAAACTACTTACTCATGGGGATTAGCCAAACGTCCCAGTGCAGCAGGAGCCTCGCGGAAAACGAGTCTGGAGACAGAGAGACACTTTCCTGGATAAACAAAGGGCAGTGTGTTGTTGGTGTTGTTATCACTGCCACACAAAGGCATCGTGGCACATGGGGCGTCTCTCATAGGGCAGGAGCAGCAAGGCGGAAAGGCTCTCCTCCCCCCGTGAGTGACAATCCCCACTTAGTGAGGCTGTGCCCACCACTCACTGCGGAGGCTCAACCGAATAACTGGGGTCAGGGGTCACGGCTCTGGCATTGGGATTCTCCCACAACATCACGAGAGAGCCGCCTCAAAGGGATCCTTCCGCGCGCATCGCGGAGAGAGACTTACAGGCGCGCACATTCGCCCGCCTGCCCCATCACCCGCCTACCCCCATCACCGCCCGAAACCGTTTACGCAAAATGACAATGTTTTGGTCGTGTCAAAAGAGTCGCGTCAAAAATAATGATTGCCAAGGTGGCCTCTTGGCACGCACCGCACGGTTTGTGAGCGCTCATTGCCATCCACGGGTGGAGCGGTGGCTCTGTCGTTCACCCGCTACGGTCAATGGCACCCGAGTTCGATTCCCAGCCACGGCGAACATCGGTGGCGAGTGATATGTGAACTGGTACTGGCCTCCTACCATTGCTCTTTACCAATCCATGCTGACCAGGGTGGTGAAGTATGGTCAAACAAGCCCTCTCCTTGATCAGCACGGCTTTGGAAGGCTTTCATGTGGCAGTGGATGAACAAAGGTCTGTAAACTATAAATGAGGTATTCATTCATAAACTGATGTGAAATTGTCATGCGCTACATCCCAAGTGTTGTAAATGTAAGTCCCTATGGTGAGTTGCTTCATTAACCACACATGGCACTGTTAACGTCTGGCTGCTAATACTCGTCCGTCCGCTGGCATCTGACCACTCCACAGGTCAACGTGGGTCAAATCGCGTGCATTGCAGGAGCGCTTCCTCGCACCGAGTGGCGAGGTCGACGCACGGAAAGCCAGCGGCGAGCTCGGTCTTCTCCCCCGGTAAAGATCGCCTCACTCTGCCCGCAGAAGATGGTCTTCGCGGAGTGGCAGTGCAGCATTGCTCTCAGCTGCACCTGATACACTCAAGTGCGCGTTTCGGCAACTCCAAAAACTAAAAAAACGTAACTATTTATATTTTTTTCATAATATAGGGTTTTTCTGGGTTTGAATGCGTAAATATAAATGTGTCATTAAACTCGCCACCACCCGACACAGCCAATTAGTAAGTTTTGTTACGTAAACAGAACATGCCAATTCGTTACTAGTACTCGTACAGCCACGAGGTTAAGGCCCACTGAGCTATGTAGCTCATTTTCAGAAGCGACCTGGCCACAAATGAGAGCTCAACGACATGGCTTATCATGCGGAAATGTATTGCAGCCAAATACTCTAAAACTCATGTTTCTAAATGTGGAGCAAGTAAATCCACGCGACCAGGGGGAGAAAGAGGGAGAGCACGCAAACACCAAATATACAGACGTCAGTGTCCGGATCGAACCCACGAGCTCCCGTATACCAGGCGAGGTTGTGAACATCTCGCGAGCGTGTTCTCTCTTCCGCCTTTCATAGAAACACAAAACCAGTCGGCTTTGAAGAAGAGCCCGTCCCCATCGCGACTCAGCATCGCTGCAGAGCGGAAGGTTGCTACGTTCAGAGAGTTGCTACATTCTGAGAGTTGCTACGTTCAGATCGGTGCTACGTTCAGAGAGTTGCTATGTTTAAATAATTGGTACGGAAAGTTGCTACGTTCAGAGAGTTGCTACATTCAGAGAGTTTCTACGTTCCGAGAGTTGCTACGGAGAGTTGTTACGTTCTGAGAATTTACGTTCTGAGAGTTGCTACGTTCTGAGAGTTGCTACGTTCTGAGAGTTGTTACGTTCTGAGAGTTGCCACATTCAGGGAGTTGCTACGTTCTGAGAGTTGCTACGTTCTGAGAGTTGCCACATTCAGGGAGTTGCTACGTTCAGAGAGTTGCTACATTCAGAGAGTTGCTACGTTCTGAGAATTGCTACGTTCTGATAATTGCTACGTTCTGAAAAATGCTTCAGAGAGTTGCCACATTCAGAAAGTTGCTACATTCAGAGCGTTGCTACGTTCTGAGAGTTGCCACATTCAGAGAGTTGCTACATTCAGAGAGTTGCTACATTCTGACAAATGCTACAGAGAGTTGCCACATTCATAAAGTTGCTACATTCAGAGAGTTGCTACGTTCTGAGAGTTGCTACGTTCTGAGAGTTGCTACGTTCTGAGAGTTGCCACATTCAGAGAGTTGCTACGTTATGAGAGTTGCTACGTTCTGAGAGTTGCTACGTTCTGAGAGTTGCCACATTCAGAGAGTTGCTACGTTCAGAGAGTTGCTACATTCAGAAAGTTGCTACATTCAGAGAGTTGCTACGTTCTGAGAGTTGCTACGTTCAGAGTTGCTACGTTCAGAGTTGCTACGTTCTGAGAGTTGCTACGTTCTGAGAATTGCTATGTTCTGAGATTTGCTACGTTCTGAGATTTGCTACGTTCTGAGAGTTGCCACATTCAGAGAGTTGCTACATTCAGAGAGTTGCCACATTCAGAGAGTTGCTACATTCTGAGAGGTGCTACGTTATGAGAGGTGCTACGTTCTGAGAGTTGCTACGTTCTGAGAGTTGCTACGTTCTGAGAGTTGCTACGTTCAGAGAATTGCTACATTCAGAGAGTTGCTACGTTCTGAGAGTTTGCTACATTCAGAGAGTTGCTATGTTCATAGAATTGATACAGAGAGTTTCTACTTTCAGAGAGTTGCTACATTCAGAGAGTTTCTACTTTCAGAGAGCTGCTACATTCAGAGAGTTGCTACGTTCTGAGAGTTGCTACATTCTGCCCGTGCCAACTCTCTCTCCCGTCCTCCTCATTTGCAGTCGCTGCTAAAGCACGGCGAGACGCCGCACCGCTGGAAGCCGCCCGCGAATTTCTCCGCCGTGAGCTAATTGGATTGAGCGCTGTATTCATTTGCAGCTAATTAGCGAGGGGGAAATTATTAATTTATGGCACGCGGTAAATAAATAGGGTTTTGGTTAATTTATCTTTGACCCGTTAATTTGGCTCCCACGGTGAGCTGTAGTTAACGGGTCTCATAACTGAATCAAGCGCACGGTTTGATGGTAATTCCATGTGACTATAAGATGCCGCCCCATATGAAACCGCTTCATTTAGTGATGAGAAGTTAAACCAGATTTCGGAAATAATCCGTCAATAACCTGCATATATATAAAACACAGCATATACAATATCTGGATTCCCATTTGCTTTATGTTGTTTGAAATTGGACGGTGCGGAATCGCAGGTTTATATTCGCACGATAATAAAAGCGGAACGTGGTGTTTCAGCTGCGTGACACTTAATTAGCCGGGCGTTATCCATCGATTCACCTAACGCCCTATCGCCGTGCCCCTAATGCCGCGTAAACGAACGCGAGACATAATTCCTACACAGAGCACGCTGCAGACGGACACGTTCGAATTGCGCAAAATATCGCCGGGGCAGCAGCAGCAGCAGCAGCGTCTGTGATTTTTTTTTAGTTTGGTTAATTGCCGTAACAATGGTGCCACTCTTGATCACTGGTCGGTGTTACGCGCTCCCCCGCGCTCGCCCCAACGCAACATGCAAAACGTAGCCGGTGCGTATATTCCTGCAGAGGGTTTTTTTTTTTAATCGAGAACGAATAATGGTCCTTGCAGGCCAACCAACTCAAACATCGTAGCGATCTCCGGCAGGCACGGAGAGAGAAGGAATTCACGGCACTGTAAGCCGATCATCGTTTATGAGCCTGGCACAGCGGCTGTTGGAACACTTTAGGCGGCCGTTCTAGGTGAAAGACTGGCGGCAGCCCGCTGTGGCGGTTCACATGGACAGGCGCTGTCGTCCTATAAGCCTCTTGTTAGTTG